TTGGGTTTAACATTAATTTTTTAGATAAAATTCTTTTGAATTTTTTCAATAAAAATTATTGTGGGAATTTAATTTAATTCTAAATTCAAATTTTGGGTTCCTAAGTGGTTTCCTAAAATTTATACTTCTTTTCTTTATTTATTATATTATTCAATTTGTTATATATATATATATATATATATTTAATAGTTGATAAGTTTAAGTTGAAAAGAGAAAATGATGTCTTGTTGTCATCCTTTAAAAAAGTTAAAAAGTCAAACAATCGCTATCCTATTTAAGTCACATCATTTTATTTAAGTCACATCACTTCTCTATCACATCACTTCAAACTCAATTCATATCCAACCCATATTTTATAAAAAGTCAAAAAATATACTTATTTAGAACATCTGAAACAACCCAGTAACAATTGAGAAGGATAAAATGTAAATTAACACAACTTTGAAAGTGTGAGAAAGGATCTTCTGGGGTGATTTCTTTTATCATAGGGTTTATTACACGTTTTACTCGTACTGTCAACAAATTGTCTATTTAATTCTTGAACTATCGCTTGAATCTATTTAATCTTTAAAATATATAAATCAAAGTATATTTGTTGATTGAATCTAAAATATTTAAGTCAAACATATTTAATCCCTAATGCTGTGTTTGGTTGGAGAATTTGAAGAGAGATTTGGAAAGGAAAAAGGAAAAGGTAGGTGAAATCTCCAACCAAACATAACAAAAGGATTATAAAAATAAAATATATGTCCATATGTATCAGAAATTAGTAACCCCCTCCCAACTAAGATTTTATTACAGAAAAAATCTTACAATTTTTTTATTTTGTCTTAAAAAAGTATTTCACTTCGTTGTGTGTTTAAATGAATATTAGAGCCTGACTTTTTAGTCTTACCAATAAATTATATGAATATTAGATATACTGAAAAAGTATAATTATATAATTTAAATAATAATACTTCTTTATAAATAGTAATAGAACAAAATAATACATTAATTAAGTAATAAAAAGAACTTAGAGAAAAACTTAAAAACAATCAATTAGCAATTATAGACGAATTTATCTGGTATTAAAGAAAAGCACACATTTATTGTAGAAAATAAGTAAAAAAATATTATAGATAATTACTCTTATCCTTAAAGAAATTCAATAATGTGGAATAATTTATAATATTTATGGACTTATATTTTATTTTTGTAATCTTTTTAGGGACTAAACAAGTTTGAATTAAATACTTTAAGGACTTAATGGGTTCAATTGATAATTTAGGAATTAAATAAACATTGATTTATATACTTTAGTAGGGGTGTTCAAAAAAACCAGTGGAACCGATCCAAACTACCAATTTTTTTTAGTTACGGTTTTGATTCTAGTTTTGAAAATGGTAAAACTGTTCAAATCGGTCGGGTCTGGTTCTAGTTCCAAGACTTTGGTTACGGTACAAACTGGATTGTTATATATTTATTTATTATTATTTTAAATTTTATATAAAACAATTTAAATATAATAAAATGCTTCTTCCAAGATTTGAACACTAGCCATCAATGTAAAATTGATAAACTCTAACCAATTTAACCAAACTAATAATTATTAATATTTTTATTAAAATAAAATACATATTATATTTATTGTTATATACAATTTATTGAACCATAAGCCTAACCGAATCAAACCGGTTTTTATGGTTCAGTTCTAGTTTGGTTCCATAGGTTAACGATTTGGTTATGATTCTAATTTTTCTAAAACCGTAAAAAACAGTTCGATTCCTGATTTACTCTAAATCCAGACCAATTCGATCCGTGTACACGCTTATACTTTAGGGTCACAGACGATAGTTTAGAAATTAAATAGACAATTTAACAGTAGTTTAAAGGTATGAAATGTAATAAACTCTTTTATTTATTACATCAAAACAAATTAGAAACGACATTTTTCTATGGGCAAAATTATACTAATAGTCTCTATAGTTTGGGGCTTGTATCATTTTAGTCCTTGCCTTTTCAATTGTGACACATTTAACTCTTAATTTTAAATCTTGTTCCAAATAAGGACAATTGAACATACCATTGCTTAATTTCAAGGGCAAACTCGTCAATTTGATAAAATATAAACTAATTTAACATAAATAAATGTCAAAAAAATATTTTAAAATATTTAAAAAATTATTTTTACCCACCAAAAATAAAATTATGTAAAATTGATAAAAATTAATAAAAATTACATGATTAATTTTAAAAATTAATTTTACATGATCATCATCCAAATACATAATAAAAATTAATTTGGTTAAAAAAAATAAATGTCTAAAAGATTTATCAATTTTATATAATTTTATCTTTAATAACTAGAAATAATTTTTAAAAATTAAAAAATAATTTTTTGACATTTATTTTTGTCAAATTGACGATTTTGCCCTTGAAAAATCCAATATTATCTATGATTGTCCTTATTTGGAACAAGATTCAAAATTTAGGATCAAATGTATCACAATTGAAAAGTGAGAATTAAAATGATACAAGCCCCAAACTATAGGGACCATTAGTGTGATTCACCCATTTTCTATCTATTCAAGTTGAAAATTCAAGTAAAATGACTTTTAACCTTTTTTTTCTTTTTTCTTTCTCTTTTTTTTTGAAAAAGAAAAACCTAAAAATAAAAAACTAAACATTAAAACCAACATCATTTTCTTTTAACTTCAAATTTGTGGCTTCACATTAAAAACTATGATAGAGGTGTGAAATCCTGCAATACTACCAACTGGCATTAAATAGTTGGCATATAACAACTTCAATAATAATGTGATGTGTCATCTAAAGCCCCATGATGACTAATAAATATTGAGTGTCAATGTTATATGGTTTTTACTGTGGTGGGTGAATATCACTTAATCATACATCGTTGCTCCCCTTATTGTTGATAGTTAATCGTTGATGATCAAAACATAAGCATAAATCCGTTTTTGTAAAATATTGAGTTGAATATTTACCTCCACCCGATATCTTAAATTTGACGTGACATTCTAACAGTCATATTTTGACATCAAGTATCAAGGCGATAAAGTGTGCCAAAAGCTAATGTGATTTTTGACATTATCTCTTCATGTCAATTTTGACATGAAGACCCCTTGATACTTTTTTTTTTTTTTTTTTCTTTTTTCTTCAATTAAAGCATTTTTTCTTTTATTTTCAATTAAATATAATATAATAATAGATTCGACATATCGGATGGAGAACTTTCATGTTAAATTGATATATACCAATTTGCCACCTAAATCTTCCAAAAAAAAATTTAATATATCCAAATTTAAAATTTTGAATAAAGATTTAATTAGACAAATATCTTTTATAACTCACTGACTCAACCAACTAATTAATAGGTGAATGTTATATCGTTTATATCCTATATTAATAGGTGAAATTTCTTACTAGGTGAATGTTATATCCTATATTCATACACCATTTTGGTGAAATTACCATTAATTCCTTATATATATATATATAGAAGCTATTTTTTCTCTAAAAGTTTATGGAAAGTTATTAATATGTTTGAGGCAAAAAGCAATCATAGAAGACTATGTTTCATCACACCCACTTGATGTCCCTTCTGTTTTTCCTGCCTTCTCAAGCAAACACCATCAGCTGGAACAGTAACCCCCCATATCTTCTCTCTCTCTCTCTCTCTCAAAATGATACAGAGAATAATGGCAATGACACACCCCAATTTGTTCCTCTTAACCAAAAATTGCAAACTCACCAACTTCTATTGAGTGGATGCTAATTGCATTTCTAACTAAAATAGCTCTCTCTCACCTAACATCACATTCACTCTCTCTCTCTCTACCTCCATAAAAACCCCTCTCCCATCCCCTCCTACACATCATTCACTCCTCCTTCAAGAGCCAAACCACGTATCCACTTCCTCTACTTCCACTTCAACACAAGGCTGTCTTCTCAAACCAACTTTTAACGAGTCGAACATGGAACAGTTCATCTTTCCTTCTCTCTCACTTTTCCTACTACTCTCTCTCTCCCATTTCACCACAACCCTAGCCCAGACTCCGGCACTGCCACCAGCCCCTACCGGCCCACCTAACGTTGTAAAAATCCTCCAAAAAGCCGGCCAATTCACCATCTTTCTCCGGCTCTTAGGCACAACCCAAGTGGCCAACCAAATCAACGGTCAGCTCAACGACTCCAACAACGGCATGACCATCTTTGCACCACCAGATAACGCCTTCTCGAGCCTCCGATCCGGCGCGCTAAACTCTCTCACCGACGAGCAGAAGTCCGCTCTGGTTCAGTTTCATATTGTGCCCACTTTTCTTTCAATCACTCAGTTCCAAACTGTGAGTAATCCACTAAGGACCCAAGCCGGGGATGCGGGCAGCGGTCAGTTCCCGCTTAATGTGACGAGCTCCGGCAGCCAAGTCAACATATCGACCGGCATCGTTAATACAACGGTGGATAACACCATTTATACCGATAACCAGCTTGCTGTGTATCAGGTGGACAAGGTGAGCGTCTTTCACTTGGCTACGAGGACGTTTGTTTGTTTTTTCTTTTTTTTATTTGGGTAATTTATAAACACATTCATGAGATTTACTTAAATTATAAATTATTTTTATAATTAAAAAAATTGCATTATATGTTTAAGGTTTTTAATTTTATAACAAATAAATCATTTTATGAATAAATCATCAAGTTAATTAACAGTTTTTAATAATGTTAAAATTTTATTTCAATTAATAATTCAAATAATTTTATTATATATAGGTGAATAGTTAGAAATTTCACCTTTTCAATTAATTGTGTTGAATAAAAAATTTTGACGAGAAGATATTTATAATTTTTTAAACTACATGGACAATTCGTATTTTAAGTAAATTTCAAGGATGTATTTATAATTTATCCCTTTTATTTTTAAGAATTTAAAAAGTTGATGTATTTAGGAAGTTAGAGAGGCTTTTTTTTTATTTTAATTTTTTATGAGTGAAAAAATTCAGTGATGTTTTGATTTTTTTTAAAATTTATTACGAACAATTTTTTTTTTTACTTATTTAATCAAAAAGTTGTCTTTTTTAGAATATTCCAAAACAACCTCTAAATTTAAAGAAAAAAATTTAAGAATAAAATTACCTTTTCACAGTCTTATGGGCTTGTGATTGATCTTATGATTCTTTTCAATTAATTGTGTTGAATAAAAAATTTTGACGGGAAGGTATTTATAATTTTTTAAACTACATGGACAATTCGTATTTTAAGTAAATTTCAAGGATGTATTTGTAATTTATCCCTTTTATTTTTAAGAATTTAAAAAGTTGATGTATTTAGGAAGTTAGAGAGGCTTTTTTTTTATTTTAATTTTTTATGAGTGAAAAAATTCAATGATGTTTTGATTTTTTTTAAATTTATTACGAACAATTTTTTTTTTACTTATTTAATCAAAAAGTTGTCTTTTTTAGAATATTCCAAAACAACCTCTAAATTTAAAGAAAAAAATTTAAGAATAAAATTACCTTTTCACAGTCTTATGGGCTTGTGATTGATCTTATGATTAATTTCTGTAATAGAAGAAACCAAAATAATATTTTTCAACTTATTTTTGTTTTTTCTGAACTTTTTTCAAGTCAAGTTTTTGTTTTTTACTTTTTAGATCGGTTTCAACCAGATAATCCTATAAATTAAAAAAAAAAAAAATTGAGTCAATTTTTTTTTTTAAAAATCAATAAGACAAAAATAAGTCAAAATTTATTAAAAAAAATTAACAAAAAAGTTTATTTTTATTTTTTTTTTGAACTTTTTAAATAAAAAAATCAATTTTTTTTTTAAAAATAATAATTTAAGATTGCCTTGTAGATAGGGATTTAAAAAGTAAAAAAATTGACATGATTTATAAGATGCCCACTATAATAAGTCAAATTATTATTATTATTTTTAAAAGAGTTAACTCCCAAAAGAAGCAATTGAAATGTGTTACAATGAAACTCTTTTCCTTAATCCTTTGAATTTCCATTTTTCATGCTAATAATTTTCGTAATTTTCATTTTTTTTTTGCCTATTAAAAAAAAGGTGCTACTTCCTCTGAGCATCTTCGGCCCTCACCCGCCGGCGCCAGCCCCGGCACCAGCGACAACACCAAAGAAGAAGAAGGAGGCGGCTGCAGCCACCAGTCCCACCGCCGCTGATACCAATACTTCTGGTGCAGTTAGTCTCTCCCTCCCCATGCAGGCCATGGTGCTGGTAATGTCTATTGGGGTTGCTGTGTATTCATCATTTGTTTTGTGACAATGAACGGTCGTGATTGTCAAGTGCCCCAGTTGATTTTTTGATGAGTCATATTGAACGGTGGTGATGGAGTATGGACATGCTGAGTGCCTTTGAATAATTGCAATTATGTTCTAAAGTCTGGTTGTACAATGTAAATTTTGAGGCTTTTCCGGTACTCTTTTTTTTTTCTTTTTTTTCTTTTTTTCATTTGGATCTGTAATTTTCTGTCTCTTGTTTTTAGTTTTTGCAATTTGTTTGTTTTGTTGTTTTCCAGATTCCATTGTAATTTGAGATTTCGCATGAATTTGCCAAAAATGCTACGAGTCATTGAACTTTGATCATTGATATTCTTTGGTCATTTGATTTTTTTTATTTATTTTTATTTTTTATAAATTTAGTAGTGATATAAGACATATCATTTTAAAATTAAATATTCTTTTTAATGATATTTAATTACAAAAATATCATAATAACATTAGTATCATCCTCAATAATTATCATGTATTTCAGGAATTTCATGTTAGCCAGGAATTTCATGTTAGCGATATGCTTAACAAACAACAAGGCCTAAAAGAATTGCATGACCCTACAAGCAAGGAAATGATGGAGAAATAATAGGATATCATTGGATGGCCATACCCTTGTGTAGTCATGCTGACCCATATGATAATTTTTGACGATAAATTTTGTATGAATAATATTTTTTATTTTATGTGTTGAAAAAAGAGTTTGAAATGTACCTATGTGGTTTCATAGACTCTGCACGAGGATTGTGCTAGCCCGGTATGATCAGATAGGTGTGATTCTATTTGCACGTAAATAACAACTCGGTATGCGCAATTGAACTTTTCAAATTTTAATTCTTATTACACCTTAATATAAATTTATTAATAAAGATAATACATATTAAATTTTAAAATAAATTATAAATATATTTTTTAAAATTTGATTAAAATACGAATTGCCCTATGTGATTTTGAAAATTATATTCAATTCTTTAAGATTTCTAATTTCATAACAAATCGCCTATTTTATTAATAAATCATGTTAGAAATTGGGCGCCCATGTGACTTGACTCTTCTTTGAATCTTTTGAACCTTATCCAAATAAGTTTAAATTTGAATTCAAAATCTATTTGGATAACCACTAAGGATATCTATATCTATCATAGCAACTGATATGGATAGATGATATAGATATCTTATATATCTGATATAACTGATATGGATATTTTCATTATTATCTAACATATCTGATATAATATGGGATATGGGTGATTAAGAGAAAAATAACATATGTCGTATGTTGTTTCTCATATTCTGACTCTCTTTCAAAATACAACGATCAAGAGTCATTTTGCATTGTGACTTGTATGGATGATATTCATTCTGTAATATCACTTCACTGTTGGGTTGATTGACCAGATTCAGGAAGCACATGATTTACCCACGAGATCATTTCAATTCAGACTTTACACAAAAGGTATGACCATAATTTTTCATCCGCTGCGTTTAACCTTTGATTTACATTAGTATTAGAGCATGAATGGGTATTTTCGTGTTTTTCTTTAATCATGTGTATATTTTTATATATATATGTACACATTATATTCATGAATGTTTATAAAGGAGAAAAATGTCTACTCTCATTAGATTAAGAGCATAAATACCTATTTTTTATGTTCATTAATGTCTTTTTTAATGTCATAAATGGTTTTATTTTGAAAAATGGAGTCCGATAGTGCAAAAATTGGACCAAAAAACACCCTGGAAGGCGGCGCGTGGTCCGCGCGCGCCACCTGACGCCGTGAGCTGCTGCCACGCGTTTCTACGCGCTAAATACGCCACACACGCGCGCATCCGCGCGTCAGCAGCGCTGTCCACGCGCGAGCCCTTCACGCCACACACGTGCGCCGTGCCCTGAGCCGTGCGCCGAGCCGCGTGCTGAGCTGGGCTCGCTGAGCCGCACCGTTTTCCTCCGCCGGCTTGGTTGGCTTGGCTGCTGATGCATTAGGCACTGTTTGTTTTGTTTTTTAATTCTGAATCGCGTTAAATGGTCATAATTAATTCATTATAGGTTTGTTTTATGCGTGGTTAGTACTGTTAGACTCAGAATTAATTTTTCTATATTTTGTAAAATTTTACGAAAATAAAAAATATTTTTTCTGTGTTAATAATTCATGTTTTATGCTTTAAAATGCTTCTGGTATTGCATAAATAATTTTCTGGGGTTGAAATTTTTATTGTAGATTTTTGAAAAGTTTTACTATTTACTGGTAATATTGTTTCAGTTTATTAGTTTTTGGATTTTTTATTTCTAATTTTAATGTGTGTTTATTAGTTATTTAAAATTCTAGAAAATTTCAGAAAAATTCCAGAAAATTTTAGAATGATGTACATTTTAATTATGGCATATTCTGAATATTGTTTCAGTTTATCAGTTTCTAGATTTTTTATTTCTAATTTTAATGTGTGTTTATTAGTTATTTAAAATTTCATAAAATTTCAGAAAAATTCCAGAAAAATTTCAGAATGATTACATTTTATTATGGCATAATTTGAATATTGTATACAATATATTTTTTGGGTTTGTAATATGTTGCAATTAAAGAAGCATGATTATTTATTTATTTATTTATTTGAATTCCATTATTAAATGAATATAGCATGAGTTAATTGTAAATTTACTTTAAGATGCTATTGTATGGAATTTATCATGCTTTGTAAATGCCATAAGTAGTGGGAGACCTTTTTTTTTTTTTTTTGCGCATGGAATTAAATTAATTTTTTTGATAATTGTCATTTGTGGCGCAAGAGAAGATTACGAGCATAGCGGATTTTCGGTCTTGCGACTTGTGTAATATTGTCACTATTTAATTTAGATTTTTGCGGCAAAATTATATTATGCTAATCAAAATTAATCCCAATACAAATTTCTCTCTAAATTGACTTAGCTTATGGAAGTTAATTGGTTGACCTAGACTTAGTAGAGATGTTCAAATGTGAACAATGTAATCCTATTCTTTAGATGAGCAAAAGTCTTGGAGACTTTAGGTCAGATCTTAATTGAGCCAAAGTAAGGAAACATGACTCAAAGTCGCCGTAGTTTTATTGCCTTGTTTGGCATAATAAAAACTAATGTATGCGCAATGGTTAGCGGCATGCTACGTAGTTTTGGTTGGCGAGTTTTGAAGTTATGAAATTAGTAAGCCCTCAATGGATCTGTATATGGTCTTAACTATTGAGCTGCGCAGATTGACTTTGTAATTGACTTGTAAATAATGTTACATCATTGGATGAAGTAACATTCAAGAGTCACATCATCCAAGAAATGCGAGCTTAAATAAATCAGTCATTAAGTGTAAGACAAGTCGCCAGTATGAACAGTGTTTTGCTCTCTACCCAATTATTGGGAGTGGATGGAGCAAAATTTCATGCACTATAATAGTGTGCGTTGAAATATCACGTGAAGTTAAAAGATTAGCGCTTAGAAGCTACAAAGTCTATTAACACTAAGTGAAAAGATTAGCGCTTAGAAGCTGCATAATCTATTAACACTAAGTGAAAAGATTAGGGTTTAGTGGCTGCAAAATCTATTAGCATTGCTGACTTGTCTTAGTCTGGACACTTACTGTTTCCACACTTGAGTGTGAGACATGAGGAGGGGCTTCTTTGTATGATTCCTTAGCTAGGCTAACGTTTTGAATAATGTTTACCACTAAGTGCAAACGTTGCAGCATAGTAATGAAAAGGTCAAGGCTGACAAGGTTGTTATGACTCTAAGAATTTGATGCATCGCTTGTAAGAGCATTGTGTTGAATTAGACTCTTTAGCCTAATTCGCGCTTAAGTTACTTCAGGAGCTGTCCTAGTTGATAGCTTATTCTCTCATTCTTGTGGATAGTAGAATTAATTGCAAGTAACTATGAAGCGAGAAATAGATATGGCAGGAGGAGTATCATCATTTTTCAACTAGATGCATTAAAATGTATGGAGAATAAAATTGACTTGAAGGGCAGGGGATTAACACTTACTAGTTAAATTTGTGACTTAGGCGCACTTAACATCTCCATGACATCCTTTTATGATCTAGTGAATATGAGTTAGTCGCGAGTCATTACCTAGTTGGGCCTAAACCTTTAAAACTTGTCTTCAAAAACTCACACATTAGGATGATTGGAATTAGTTTATGACATTGGTCATGAACCCGTGGCTTATTATACTTAATCACATTAATGAGAAGATGTATGGATGTTTGGAGAAGGCCCTCTTGGGCCCACTCGCTTGTGACATCCTGCTCTCATATGAATGTGTAACTTTGTTCGCAATGGTTATGCACAAGTAAGTAGGAAAACCATAGAAGGTCATTTGTATTGGCGCATTTAGTCCACTATGATATTTGTGACTAGATATGTGTAAGGGTATGATAGCTAAGTCTCAATCTCAACACATTTATAGATTACGATACGCATCTGAGTCAAGACTATTTGATCTCCCATAAGTCAAAAGTTTTGAGATGATTTTTGACATTACACATATGAGGTTAAGATCAATTAGATAACAGCTTTCGTGTTTTTATTCTTGACCAAGATGGCGAGTATCTATTTGAGTTATTTTAAAAAACTCTGTGAAGAGAAATGGATGCTTAGAAAATTGATTATTCCTAATACTCAACAACACAATGGTGTAGTAGAGATAAAGAATTAAGTATTGTTAATGTTAGGTGGATGATGGCGCAAAATGTTTCCCAATTGGAAATTGCACTTTAGTTTGTTGCCTATATCCCTAACTAAATGCCCTTCATATCAGTTTTTACACTCCATTTTGAGTAATGGGTTAGCGGAGAGCCATCTATGGGCGATCTGTAACCGTTAAGCAACTTATCTTTATTTACTTCTCATAAGGTTGCGAAGTTAAGACCTAGGGTTCAATAGCACATTATTGTATGCTGTCTTGTAAACACATAGGATCGCGTGGCGCATTATTGTATGCGGTCATGTAAACCCTTTGGGTCATGTGCATATAGGTAAGCAGCTTTGTGGTAGTGTAACTAAGTCACATAAAGTTTTTTTAGTAAAGGTGACGTGAATAGAGTTTTGGAATTCTGTAAGATAGAGAATTCAAAGCATAGCGCTTTTATGTAGCCTAGTTGAGAATGGAAAGAAATTTCTAATATCCTAGGGACAGTGGGAGCGATGTGCCTACTAATGGATTACTTCATTAGAGAAGAATACTCTACATTCTTAGTTGCGTGGTAGTGAATGTGAAAATTTTTCACGTCATCACTGGGTGATTGAGAGGGAAACATTCATGATTGCTCCGCAA